ACTAAGTATGTAATCAACTTTTTACGCGCAATCTCTAATTCTTTATGATTTTTTCTGCAGATGCACATCTTATACCAGTTGAATTACCAGAGATCAAATCTTTAACTGACAGGTAAATAAGTACTTTGATGAAGTTAGAAAATATACTCACCCTTCTGTTGGGTTATCCTATTGCCTCCCTCCACCCCGGAGAACAAAAACAATGCATCATGTTTGAACAAAAACAATACTTCATAGATTTAACTACTTTTTAATTTGCATCATGTTTGAAATTGTGTATTTTCCAATTCTTTTCCCCAAATAGTAGGCTCGATAAAAGAATTATAAATTATTTTTATTATTGTTCATTGTGTAGTTTTAGGAGATTCTTGAATAGTTTTCTGCTTTATTTACAAGTAGTACACCATTAGTTTAATAAACCGTGATTTAGGCTCTCTCACAGGCTCTTGGTTATTCTTTATGCAAATGCATCTAAATCATTTTTCTCCTCCTTTCACGTGGTTTTGTTTTCCCAATTCTGGTATTATCTCTGATCATGGTGCCACTTCATTTTAACAGTTTCGGTCACCACTTATATTAACACTACACTTCTTGATAGTTGGCATCACTAATTTAATTGTAAAACTATGCAGCCAAGTTATTGAGAAGATAGCATGGGATGCTTCAGGGGAGAGACTTGCAGTATCTTATAGAGATGGAGATGAATTGTACAAAGGTCTAATAGCCATATTTGATGTTAAGAGAACTCCCCTAATTTCAACTTCATTGATGTAAGTGCGTTCATTTCTAGGTCCCGGAGAAGCTTTCTCTCTTATTTAAATTCCATTCATCGGCGTGTTGTTTCTTTGGCTGTTTTTATCATAGTTTATACTTTGAGCTTGCTTTGATGATTATGTTTGCTGATATAGTGGATTTATCCGAGGACCTGGGGACAATCCGAAGCCATTAGCATTTTCATTCCACGACAAGTTCAAACAAGGACCATTGCTTTCTGTGGTCAGACATCTGCCTCGTTTTATATATTTTCCATTTTGGTTCTCTGCTCGTTCATTCTTCTTTTATTATAAGAATGATTTAGTCATTCTGCAGAAGAAATCGGCAGTCGATATGTTACAGAAGTTGCGTATTAGTTAGAGGGTTAATTACAATCTATCCCTTCAAGGTTTAGATTATTTACCAAGAAAAGAAAAAAAAAAAAAAATTGGTTATCCTTCAAAGTTAAAGATATGCCATTGTCATTCATTTCTTTTACAATTGCAGTGGTCACGAATCTCAGCCGGATGTTTGAAAATTTTAAAGATAATGCAAACCCGTGTTGGATCTTTGTCGTAATTGTCCCTTAATTTCAATGTGAAATGATTTTAGATTTTGTTTTTTTTGGGTGGTGAACTCACATTACCTTATTCCGTAATTTATGCAGTGTTGGAACACTGGATTTTGCTGCACGTACCCTCTCATATTCCGTTCAAATGTTGTACCATAGTTGAGGTGTTGCTCTTATTCAAGCCTTCTTAATTACTATTTTTCCAGCTGTAGATATAATGATACTTTTAATTATTATTATTATTTTTTTCCCACAAATCTTCTGTAGGTATCGACTAAAATGTGACCATGGCAGATGGATCTCCTCAGGTCAGTGAAAAATACAGTTCCTACAAGATGTGAGTGGCTACTATTTCAAATCTTGAAAATTGATGAATTGCTATACAAATCACGAATTTTCCAATAATTTCAGATTTAGCTGAAGTTCATTTTTTACTGACTTCAGGTTTTTGCCGAGATTGTCTGGTGGTGAAGTAATGTTTTTGAAAAAGTCGGCTTGTGTTGTGCTCTCTCGTTCGTTATTCTTTTTTGTGACTTGTGAGGTTCTTTTTTAGTCTTATTATTCAGTGGGACTGGATGATATACATACATTACAGTGGGAAAAAACAGCAAGAATGCAACAAATGCAAGTTTTTTGTTCATGTCATTTTAATTTTGATCGATATCCATGACTAAAATCGTCACTGACTCAAGATTAATGTCCCCTTAGGTTTTGCAATAATAACCAGAGCCAATCAATCTATGGAGCTACATGAATTGCATCTCATATAATGTTATGTATAAACTCTTGTGAACAATATTTGTAATCATACAATCTTGCTGTAAGCCTGCAAAACCAATAAATCATCCTTTTTTTCCAAGAAAATGAGCTCATAAAGCATGACATTTCCATATTTAGCATAAGTATGTATTTTTGTTTAAAGGAAGTATGACGGGTTGATCTGCCCAACTATTAGCCGCCTCACACACGAATTTTGTGTATAAATATATATGTTCCAACTTCTAATGCACCTCAACTAATCCAAGGAGAATAATACAAGGTGGAGAAAAATTTTGGTTATGATAGATAATTAGATAACTAATCCTAGAGATATAATATAAGACCATAGGTTTTATTATACTGAGTGAACACAAATTACATCGATGCGTGGACATCATAAAACTCTGCAGGCTGCATTACATTTGATTTTCTCAATAAGTCAATTGAAGTTAAAGAATATGGAGGCAATATAATGTCCATTTTGGTTCTGGCATTTTTAAGTGGGTTTACAACAGGGGCAACCTGCAATAAACAAAGCAGAGGAAAAATGTCAACAATATACAGATAACACCACCCAAATCACAGTTTATTTTCCAATTTTTATCTTCCTGACTTCACAGGTCGAAAATGTTTCGACCTGAATCTCAGTAAACGAAGAACGATTGAAATTTATAACTATCACAAATAAAATCAGATTGCAACTAACTTTACCTTCTGTGGCTGATCGAAAGAATTTTCATCCATCACATTACTAGATGTAAGTGTAGTTATTGTAGACCCTTTTGCATCTATGAGGTTATTATCGAGTCCTTGAACCGAAAAACTTAGACGAACCCCATTGCTCCCGAAGTTCACAACCTGGACAAAGCGAACATGAAAACAGCAGACATTAATATTTTGAATGCAGTTTCATTTTTTTTTAAGCTAAAGTTTTATTATTATGAGGTAATGTCACTGAGCAATGCACTCAGATTATAATAAACCTTTATCCTCAAGTAGTTCTTGTTATTCTCGGTGTTTTTCCAAGAAATAGCTGATGCAATAAGAGGATTGGAAGAGCTCGATTGCAATGAGGAATCGAGAAGGATGGCATTATTCGATTCTTTGAAGAAATGCTGCATCCAATAACTCGGAGTACCGTAAACCCTTGAAGAATCGAAAACTATTGCATCCGCATTGAAGCTAAGACCGGAGAAGGAAAAAAAAAAGAAGGAAAAAATACAAAATATCTTCCCGTTAGGCAAATTCGAATAAGAAACAAAAAATCGGGTTTAAAGGATATATAGAAACAATAAAACATACCTTCTATCGTTATCGTTCACAAACAAAGGAGCATTACTTGCCATTTCAACAACATCACTGCAAAATAATTAAGAGAAAGTTCTTATATGCAATTTATAGCAAGAAAAAGCTAATGATCTTTTGTAGTTTTTCATGGTGGTTATAAAAAAGACCTGTTTCTCTCTAGCCCCATAAGAAAACCGGCCTCAGCAAGTGCTTTCAAAAGACTTCCTCTTCCAGCATCATTTCCCGTCACTGCATACTCACTTACGAAAGCCTGAAAAAAAGCATTATACATTCAGCACTAATGTGAGAAGCAAGAAAAAAAAAAAAATCGAAAAATACCTTTGGCCCATCTCGTGAGGTCCGGTCGAAGTTGTGAGCCATCGAGAACATAGAATTCGCGCTCGTGTAAACCTTCCAAGCACAAAATCACCAGGTTATATGGATTATTTTACCAGCATTATATAGATTATGAGTTTTTGACAGTATAGATTATTTTACCAGCATTATTTAGATTATCATGAGTTTAAGTCACTGAAAAAGTTTGAAAAATTTCTTACATGGAAATCATACAGATCAGCCGGGTGATCCAACAGTCCAACAGACCCATCACAGTTTGAGATAATTTTGATATCCGGGTGTGTCGTTTTTATAGCATTGTAGAACTTCATGTAATTACCTAATGAAAAATATTAGCAATTTAAACTTCAAAGAATAGTATTTGTAATTTATATACCAAAGGAAAGATTTTTCGGTTAAGGTAGTTAGGTACTATGATAGTTCATATTTGCACATTCTTGATTCCCAACAGCAACATATCTCAAATCGAAAGGCTCTGAACGGCCCATTTCTGCTCGAACGGAGCCCCATTTAGAATTCGGGTCTCCTCTTGCAAACTCAAGTGCATCTAAAATGTCCTGAAAAATACATCCCATATTTGTAGCTTTTTTTCAGAGAAATTGCTATGAATTTTATTCTCTGTATATATAAATCGTAACATTATTTTCCGTAGTTAACTGTTTGTATGAGAATAGAATCGACGAGCATATACTTGCACAAAAGGTGAACTAGTTGAAGTATCGACTTGCTCGTTTATACTTATTCCTGCATATAGAGAAAAAACATGGTGATAAAAAACAGTAGATCAAAGTAGAAAAAGTTCGTTTTTTCGTAATCAAACAAAATGATACCGTTATTGAAAACCCAGACGGGCAATGCATTTAAATCCTCAGCTAGCTGCAGGAAAAAAACATAACAAGAAGATTACTACAAAAAAATATGACTTTACTTTAATTATGATTCTTG